TGGTGCGTACCTTCAGGCTGACTCTCCGCGGTGGAATCCACTTTGGGTGTGTTAGCGGTGCTGCGTGCATCCAGCTCAATGACGTATATACTAGAATATACGTTCAGTGTTTCCCCTACAATTATACAAGCGGGATGATCCACCCCGTCAACAGAACTGAGCACCCCGCCATGACAAGTTAACTAGGGGAAACACTGTACATCATTGGCCCAGTTCTTCTTGAAGGTGGGTTAAAGTGACCTGCCCACTTTGCAGTGATTCAATGGACCAACTCCCCTCTCACCACTGGTTACTTTAAAATTAACAAACAAACCAAAAATCACAACGTGTAACGCAACGCATTATAGAAATGTAGAGTAGAACGCACAAAGACTTAATGTAAAATGTAGTGGAGTAAAAGTAGAAAGTACCCACATTTAACTCTACTTAAGTAAAGTACAGATACATGTAAAATGTTCTTTAGTACAGTAACAAAGTACTTGTAATTAGTTACATCCCACCACTGATCCTCAACATATACACCAAGTGCACATCTGCTTAAAACTTTGGTGTTATTACAGTGAATGCTGTCTGATGTACAGCTGGAACTGACTGGCAATGCAGAATTAAGCTATCTGCCTTAACTGGAAGAAGCTTTTTTGTAGAAAAGAGTTAATCTGTTTATTAAAGTCTGAGTCTAAAACCATCCTGAGATTTGTAACAGACTGCTTAAGATATGGCTCAAATGAGTCAAGGTTTACAGTAACAGAGACAACAATAGAGCTAGGGTTAAATGCAAAGGCTTCTGTTTTCTGATTGTTGAAACTTTAAAAAATTGAAGCCATCCATGCCTTAATGTCATCGAGACATGTTAACAGAGGATGAAGTGTGCATGAACTATTTGATAATCATCAGCATAGCAATGAAACGAAAGACCATGTTTCCTCAAGACAGACCCATCGGGGAGCAGATACAATGAAAATAGAAGGGGTCCAAGAATGGAGCCCTGCGGGACCCCGCATGAAAGAGGCACCGAAGCAGATAAACTATTTCCAACATTTACACAGAAACTCTTGTCGCTCTGATAAGAACTGAGCCATTCTAATGCTGCACCAGTATTCCCAACCCAGTGTACTAACTGCGTCAACCCTAGTCAGTCCTATTCAAGATGGCTTCTACAGCTGATACATGTTGGCCAACACAGAAATGGCTCCAAATGAAACATATTGAGGTAACGTATATGTAGTAATAGCACTAATACATCTTGGAAAATGTGACTGAGAGGTCATTTTCATGAAAGGCGGTGGGTGATATGCATCTCTTCGAAAAACCTGTTTGAGTGACGTTTGATTTCTAATTAAGAGGAATTTGAAAGAAAGAAGAGTCTTCACCTCAAGCTTTATTTCCTTTCTGTTGTGTCAGACGAGCCTGCAGCAGCTGGACGTTGTGTTTAAGTAAATATAGGTGAAAGTTGAACAGTTTGTCTGTGGTGTCACACAGTTACCTCTGTGGGACACTACGATCAGTGAATCACACCACCCCGTCACACCACAGCAGTCCTGACCCCAACACTCCCCGCTTACACACGGTGAATGATTAGTGAGGGGCTTCACTGCTGCAACACACACACACGAAGGAGAAAAACAAAATTCAAACACAAGAACATCTGAAATGTGCTGCTGCTAGTCATTAGATTTAATTCATCATTTTCAAGTAAAAAAACATCCCCGCTGAAGAAAACCTCATTCTTTTTAAAGTTATTTTCTTACTTAGACCTGAAAGTTCAGATAAAAAGCTGCTGGACTTGTTGCTTGATATGCTTCATTGTGCAGCTAAACTCACATGCAGATTAATCCCCCTCCCCTCCTTCCTGAGGGTCACTAGGACCCTTGTTTGCTCGGCTCAGAAGAACTCGCACTGCTCAAGATGGCTTCTCTGTAGGAAAAAGGATTCAGAAATTTTTTATACAGTTACCTGTAGATGTGGTAAATAAAGCCAAACATTTATAGTTGCAAACTTTAGGAAGCGTGAACAACAAACTAATATTTTAAAATAGATATAAACAACTATTTTACAGTGACTCTATTATTGTCTCTGCACTTTTTTTTTTTTTTACAGTAAATGTGTGTAAGTTACTAAGCAAGATTTTATAATGTGTTTTTGCACACAGAACAAACTGTTTATGGAGGGCTGTGTAATCTCACTCAATCTAATTGCTGATTTTCATAATCTGATCCATGTGCCCAAGACATTCTGACCAGATTTGGCCCTTCTTACAGTTTTACTTAGGTTGCCAAATATTTAAAGTCAATAATTAGTTCTATCAGTGGTTTTGTTATGTCATTGTTAATGTGGGTGTTTGTCTTTATTCCTTATTGAGTCTTCATGGCCTGTGGAGGTAAAACTGTTCTCCTCCTCGCTCTCTGAAACCTGCTGGTTCAGCAGGGAGACCGTGGTGAGGACGAGTGCAGTCTGATGAGGATTTGGGCTCTGGTCGGGCTGCGGTTTCGTCCAATATTGTGGAGATCCATCTTAGACGGTCCCAGTTATTTCCTCCACAGTTTGAAGACACTTGCAGGCCATCACACAGAGGTGCAGTTGGTCATGTGCAAAGCTGCTGTTTCTTTGACCCGGTCAAGGGTATCTGTAACGTGCACTCCCAAGAACTTGGCGCTCTGCCCATCCTCCCCGGCTGAACTGATCTGCAGCGGAGTGTGGAAGGGCTGCTTCTTCCTGCCACATTATTCAGAATTAATATTTGATTTGAATGTGAAAAAAACAACGCAATCACGGATCACCTGGAACACCTGGGGAGCTGGTGCAGGAAGGAGATGGTCGTGGATTTCAGACACCCCCCCCCCCCCCCCAAAAAAAAATATATATGAGGGTCTGCAGTGGAAGTGGTCTCTTGTTAAAAGTACTTGGGTGTGCACCTGAATGACAACCTCAGCTGGAGCAACACCACCAGCCTGATCAAGAAAGCTCATCAGAGACTCTACTTCCTCAGACGGCTGAGGCGAGCTGGTCTGGGAAGCTCAGTCCTCACCTCCTTCTACAGGTGTGCAGTGGAGAGCATCCTGTACTCCAGCATCAACGTGTGGCACGGAGGCTGCACAGATGCAGAAAGAAAAGCTTTGCAGAGAGTGGTGAAGGCTGCACAGAAGATGTTGGAGTCAGTCTCCCCACCATCACAGACATCTACACCTCCAGATGCAGGAAGAGGGTCACCTGCATCATGAAGGACCTCACTCACCCAGCACACACACTTTTTGCCCCGCTCCCCTCAGGAAGAAGGTTGAGGAGCATTAAGTGTAGAACCACTAGACTGAGGAACAGCTTCTACCCTGAGGCTGTTAGACTCATGAATCTCTAACTAGAATAATCACTGTGAAAAAAAATCACTGTAATGCCACTTTGATTGTTATGTGCTGCTGATTGTCCATTCTGCTGATCTCATGCTGCTGATTTATTTCATGTTGCTGTGTTCATTTGTGCTCATCTACTCACAGACTCGTGTTCGTGCTGCTGTCGTTCGGCGTATTGTTTTAGCACTATTGTCTAGCGTATTATAGTGTATTTCTTAGTTCATAACTTAGATCTTATTACTGTTTTTCCTTTACAATTTATATCTTTGTTATTGTTGGATGTAACTGGGACCCTGTGTACACAATTTCGTTCCACCTCATGCACCACATAGGATGCAAAAGACAATAAAGAACCTTGACCTTGATCAAACTCTTGCTGATGAGCCAAGAAAAAAGATGTCAGGTAACAAAGTCTGGTTAAATGTTTAGATTTTTCTTCTCGTATTGGATTTTTATTAAGACGTTTGGATGAAAAACTGCTTATGGAGTAAATTCAAAAACGTTCAATACAAAAACAACTGGATTTTATTTGTAACAGGAGACATTTTTGAATTTATCATGTCCTGGATGACTGAGAATCTTCACCAGCATATGCTTATAGAGTAAAATGTGATTTTTAAAAATTAAACCACACTTGTTCTAAATTATTTGAGTCTTAGGAAAAAGGTTGAATTGTATATAAATAATTTGACGTATTACATCTGAAATCCAAGCTCTGTTAATATCACTGGATAAATACTGAACAAGACCAGCCTTCAGTCAGGAACCAACTTTTAATTTTGGCACCCAACCATGAAATATTTACTCTATGACCAACTTTACAGTCATCTCCCAAAAAAGGCAATAATTACATAAACTAACGCTTTTCAAGCTGTATTTATTGTACTGACTATAAAAATAAAAAGACTACTGACACATTATGCTCTTCTGTGTGTGTATTTTTACATAAAATGTGTGTGTTTAAGGTAAACGTGAAGTAAAATCTTCATTTTATTGAGAGGAAAGTTAAAGAATCACGTCTTGTCTCGTTTTCAGAGTATTATCAGTTCACGGTGTGGCAGCAGCTCGGACATTTAGTTTGAGCATGTCAGGATTTAGTTTGTGCTGTTTTACATCTTAAACATGATAACTGAACACAAAAAGATCTGTGTGGACTTTCAACTCCTTCAGGGGCTGATAATCCCAGAGAGTTTCCAACATCAGTTGCAGGTGATTAACTCATTTCAAATGTCAGCGTTTGACAAAAGAAAAAGTGAAACTAGATAAAAACATCTTAAAGTTTTATGTTTTATCTTTCAGAATGGACACGTTTTCATTTATTTAAAGAAAATGTCAAAGAAAGTAACCTTTTTTTTTGGTCTGATGTCATCTCATGCTCTTTGAAATGATTAAAATCAGATCAGATGCAAAAACAAGACAGAGCACTGTGCAAAAGTCTTGAGGCACCTCTTATTTCTTAAAGATTAGCTTATAAAGAACCAGACAGGTAGTATTGAGCAATAGCTACTGTATTTCTCGGATTATAAGGCGCATTAAATGAAACTAAAATATTTTTGACGGATTTGTGAGCGCTGTAAAAGTCTCCTAAACAAACACAAAGGAAGAATCTGTGTTATGAGAATCACAAACATTCAGAAAGTGCAGAAAACTGTTGCTCTAATCCACTTTAAAAGATCCCAGCCAACGCTGGCTCCTCGAAAGCGATCCAAAAAGGAACGAGGTGTGGTTTAAGACTTTTGCACAGGACTGGACGAAACCATCATCCTGGCGGCCATGACATCTGCCGTCCTCCCAGGACGTGGACGTGGAGGTGGTAGACGCTCTGAGATCCATCTTTTCCATCGTTGATCACTGAGAATTCAAGGTGCAGGTTAATCAACAGTCCGTGTTCCCACATTAATAAAGTTTAACGACTGAATAATATAATAACAACTCACCGACTCTGTAGCCGTCAGTCAGGGACTCTTGCTTCGCCACATTTTTAGCAACAATCAACAAATGTCCCAAGAGCTGAAAGTTTCAAAGAAAAGGGACCCATAACGTGACTACATGTTCGGTGCACGATACGAAAGAACTGCAGCTTGATTAACAACCTCGTAACTAGAAGAAGTGGCGGCTTTAAATCTTGTTTCCAACAAAAATTTTGTTTAACGCACCCATTTGAAAACTCACATCTTTACTCTGGCTTTTAATTCGACTTCAGTCGGATTACTGAGGTTGTTTTAAGCCTATTTCAGGGTACTTGTTGGTTTGTATGTGTGGGTTTTAATTTATTTTATTGATGGTTCTTCTTGTTTGTTCTTAACCTCCTTTTGGTCACCATTGTTATTTTTAATTGTGCTATATAAATAAAATTGGCATTACCCTGTAAATAAACTGACAGGAGACACAGGACTGATGCTGGTAACAGAGCAGTTGAGGGGTTATATTTCTTGCAACAAGTGGATTTATTTTCTAACTGGACACATGTTTGATATGTTGATAAGCTGGGAGTTTTTTTTTTATTTTTTTAATTTCACGGGTCAAAGGTGCAGAGAAGCAGTTATTTTTGCAAGTAAATGACCAGCAGATGATTTTATTTTTACTGACTGTAAAAGGATCCCTGGATACTTTGTTTTTGCATCAAACTTTTCTTTTACCATTTTATGCTTTATAAATAGGACTTTTTGGACTAGTTAGTTCCTTAAATGTGCTTAAAATGTCACTGCTTGCTACAATAAATAAATAAAAAATATATATATATATATTAATCAGAGGGCGACTTTATGAACAAAATAAGGATACAACTTTTTTAAATGAAGACAAACAACCTAACAACTAATACCAGTAAACCACATTTCCATGTTAGCATTCATTTAAGTGACAGGTTGAAATGAAATAAACAGCATCTTGTCCTCCACAAGGAGAAATTCACTCAGCCCCACCCGGAGCAACATACCTGAGCATCATCATCTTTGATTGCACTTATTCCAGGAATAGGGACCCTTGGAATAACCAAGAAGTGAACAGGGGCCTGCGGGTTGATGTCTCTGAATGCCAAGCACTGGTAAAAGCACACAAGACACATTTATGAGTTCAATCTTGCAATACTATCTTTATTTTCCTCTGGATTCCAGATGTGATGAGCCATAAAACCAGCATGTTTTGAAGCCACTGGTTGTTTACCTTGTCATCTTCATAAATGACATCTGCAGGGATGCTTTTATCAATCACTTTGGAGAAGATGGTTGGACCTGGGGAGCCGTACCTCTTGCTGGCCTCCTGTGCCAGTTTCACCTCATCGTTTTGAGTGCAAAGTGACCTCTGAAGGGTCAGAGAGACACGGGAGAGACAGAGAGGAAGTTGGAGATAAAATAAACATTAATGCAGCGTTAAAGTGGCAAACCAAACCAAACCTCCTGGTCGTGGGACCCTGCAGGTTCTCCAGTCACCAGCAGAGCTACTAGTCTAGTGTGAAAATGCTCGGCTGTACTGTACCTCGGTTCGACAAACACGCAGAAAAGGACATAACTGGGCCGCCCTGGTGCCGACGAATTGTGTTCGTAAAACATGACGAAAATACATAACTAGGTACCTAGCTAATAACGCTTAAAGTTGTCAAAGATCAGAATTTCACTTTGTTTACGACCCAAAACACAGCCCTGTGCAAAAAACTTCAAACCTTATCGGCTTTGCTGCATTCAATGACCGTGTGTAAATAGTTGTTTTTCTTAAACCTCTTTCAGAGTAGCTAGAAAATAAAACATACGCGTTCGAGTTTACTTTCTTTACATTCTTGCAGGACACGACCTAGATTCTTACTGTCTCAGATTAGTATACATGGCAGTGAAAGCCAAACACATACAGTTTAAGTTTTATTACTGGCCTGCTTAAACTGCTTGTAATACCGATTTACGAAACTTCTTGGAGGAACGCAAATGGAACGTTGGTCACGTGAGCAGGGGTCGCTTCAAGAGCAGCAAGTGTTGTCAAATGCTTTTTTTTTTTTTAAACAGTCCAATCTCCACGTTCTACAAAACCGATTACCTTGACATCTTAAATTATTGTAAATAAATTGGAATAATTTAACTTTTTATTATGTTTAGGGTTTTAAAACGGTTTTCTTTATTTTATTTTTCTTGTTTTTAGTTAGTGACTTGAAATTTTCAATCTTGACCAGGTGGGGGCAGTAGTGCACCAATCCGTTGTTTGCTAACCCAAAATAAACACCAGGAAGAAACAAGTCACAGAAGAAATATGGCGGCCTGCATGAGGCTGCCCTTGCAGCTTCCTAAAATCTTACCACCATTCAGAAATCACAAGCTCATCCACACTGAAGTTGCGGCCAAAGAACCCGCGTACCCGCCTATAGTCGCCTCTCTTACGGCTAAAAGCAAATCGGCCCGGCTGCGACAGATCCAGGAGCATGTTGAAAAGATCCGCGCATCTCCCGTTGACGAGAAGATGTCCCTCCTCACCCGAGTCCCGCGGATGAAATTTGTCGTCTATCCTCAGACCTTCGCTCGCAATGCGGACAGGTGGTACAAGCACTTTACCAAGACCGCGTACATCCCGGGCCTGCCCGAGCGGTTCACCCCGGCGGCTCGGCAGAGCACTCCGACTTCACCCGAAGGTCCCGCAGCGGTCCTGGGGATCGACGATGCTACGTTCACGGACATCCGCGCTCTGGTCGCCCGAGTGATTTTACACGATCACCACATGGTGAAGAAACGTAAGCCTTTCGCGTACAGACATCAGGAGATGCTGGTCGGGCCTTTTCTGAAGAACCTGGTGGCTGAACTCGCCTACTATTTGTTTAAACACAACCCGCTGCTCCAACTCTCCAGCTTGGGTATGCTTTTTATTTATTTGTATATTTTTACTGGAAATTTAAAAAAAAACATCAGTCAGAACAGATTAAATCATGCGAGGTTATGCTATTAGGTTATTATTAGATGTTATTAGGAACAATAAACAGTTTGTGGAGGGTTATGTCCTGTGCATTCGTGATTTTTTTCCATATGTTTGTTCTGTTTATCAGATACCAGTCCACAGGTGAGCTTCTATTGGAGGAGAGGTAAGAGAATAATCCCAAGGGGACACCGCAGTGGCAGGCCAGAACCACTCAGGTTCCAGATTGACGACCACCCACTCAGCCAGATTAGGATAACTCAGCAGCTGCCACAGGTACAAACCATTTTATGAGTCTGTTATGTTTCACATTCTTAATTCTTTCTTCTTTCAGCCAGTGTTTATATGAAAATCCTTTCACTTCCTGTTTTAATGTTTCTCAGTTTACCCCAATGGAGGCTTCATACACAGCGGAAGTCACAGAGGTCCCATATGCTCCAAACCTGATGCCTCTGTTCAGAAGACAGTACGCCAATCATATCTTCACAGGTAAATTCACAACAAGAAATCTGTCACTCAAACTGAAGTGGTTTTTTTTTTATTAATCACCTTTTTCTGAGGCGATATTTGTGGGTTCAAGTTATTTTGTTGTGTGCCGATTATAATAATGTCCACTAGGGGGGGCCAAAGTACAGATAATCTAAAATATTATTATTATTATTATTATTATTATTATTATTATTTTAAATAAAATATTTGCTCAACCGGTTGTTTTGTTTGTGAACCTGTTTAATGTTCAGCTAAACAGCTAAATAAAAGTTTAAAAGACCAATAACATTTTCCATTGACCAGGGAAATACGATAAAGGTCCTGTTTTAATAATTATTTAAAACCGTCACCATTTCATGTGTCACAACTTTATGTTAAAGACTTGCAGGCTGTTTTAATGCAATAAATGATGTAATAATTGTTTAGAATGAAAGCTTGGGAAAGAGTGTCTTTTCTAAAGGGTACATGGAGTGTCGCGATGTAGAGAATTTTTTTTTTTAATGTACCAGGAATTCTCCTTCATGACTTAAAGCTGTTTCTGTAATACTAGACTGGCTTAAGTAACAATTTAAAGTGGGTCACTTTAATAAAATACAACACACCGAATAACAGCTAAACTCCTGATTTGGTAATGAACAATTTACTTTAATTTCGATGTGGTTATTTTTATTCTTATTTATCCAGGTTGCTGTTGTTATTTGACAGTAATCTTCCTCTTTCAGTTGAAGTGTTTGTTGTAAAAATGTCCTCCGGATCTCATAAACAGGTGCAAAGCTACCAGACCCAGCATGCTACGGTCACACTCAGTTCCATTTAGTCCCGGACCGGTACCACAGAGACCGCATGGCCCGGCAGGGCCAGTCTGACCAGGTGGAGGTCTTCCTCAGAGCCAACGCAATGGCCAGTCTCTTTGCTTGGACCGGAGCTCAGGCCATGTACCAGGGTGAGTTATTGTGAGAACCTGCATCAGTTTTTAAGGGCTCTATTATTTCGCAACAAAGGCAAACTGTCATGAAAGAGATGGGAAATGTGCATTTCTTTAAGGAATGCTGTGTTGCTGAATTTTTTATTTTTTTTTGTGGGACAATTAAATTTGAACATAAAAACTTTATAAAGTTTGGGTGAAGAAATTGGCCACACCTTCTTCTCGCCTCTGCAGGTTTCTGGGACTTCGAGGACGTCACGAGGCCCTTCGTGTCGCAGGCCGTGATGTCAGACGGCCGCTTCTTCTCCTTCTTCTGCTACCAGCTCAACACCGTGGCCCTGTCAGTGGAAAACGATGCCAACAACCCCAGAAAGAACCTTTTGTGGGGCACCGAGAGCCTGCGACTGTACAAGGGCGTGCAGGACGGAGAGGTGGTGGGTCTGAACGATGACGTCATCAAGCTCCTGGTTCAGTTTCTCATGAACCAACCGTAACGCTGAGCTGGAGACAAATGTCCAAGAAGTTTGTTTTTAAAGGTCAGCGTTGGACAAGAGGACGTTTTGTCAGACTATAATGGAGGATTAACTGTCCCTAAAAGTGTGGACTGATTGTAATCAAACCAAGACCTCTTGAGTCTACATTCATGTTCAGGTCAGCGCTCCTCAACACTCATGTCTCAATCATTTTTGCATAATTCTCCCATTCTGATCCATTAGAGCAGGCTTGTTAAAAGCAGCTTTTAAAGCTCATTGTTGCTTTAAAAGGGCAGATCTCCCAAGAGTTTATGGTAAATTTCATATTCCAGCTACATTTGGGGGTTGACTCGTCCGTACATATTTATCTGCTGTTTGTATTTTTTTACATTAACTATAATCAGATGTTTTTTTTTCAGTATCTGTCCCTGAAGAACAATCTTTTGTTTTAAACATAAGGCACAGGCTTGTGCCTGACAGAGCTGAGAGCAAACAAACATTTCCCCCTAAAGTAGTTGTTCAAGACAAGAATAACCAATAAAACGTCCCCCTCTAGACGGTCCGGAGTTCTACTTTGTTGTATTTATGAAAAGTTAAGTCGACGTGTTTTGTCTCTTTGCGTTTAATGAATACAAACAAGAACTTTCAACTTGGCCGAGAAGGGATACAGGAAATTGCACGTTTTTCAGTTTCTCTTCAGGAAGTGGGTGAACAGAAGGGAAGTGGTTCGTGAAAACCAAAAAATACATTTACTACTACAACGGTTAAACAGGAAACTTGTATAACAGTCAACGGTGGCGATTAGGTGGAGATTATTGCAGTTTTGATAACAGTTTACATATTGCGTCAGAGCTCTTAAACATAACATTTTTTCTTGCGCTCTGCTATAACCTGTTGATCTGTTGTCTTTAAGCTTTGCGCTGTCTTACTGAACTGCTTCCCTCTGCTCCTTTATCTTCTTGGGGTCTGAGGAAAGCATGAAAAAACAAATTAACTGCAAAAACATGAATAAAACTTAAATACCGTTGAAGAAATATGTTACAGTACTTACTCTGTGCTCTTTTGTTCATCAGTAGTCAGCGTTACTGTGAGTAATATAATAAATTAATAAGTTCACAACAACCAAAGGCTTAGATTATAAAGAAATATCTAAACATACTTATGTCTTTATGATCTTAACTAAACCTGAATATTATTACTCAGAATTTTGAGTGGGCGTGCTGAACAACACAATAAAAGACAAAATGCTCGGGTACCTTCGGCGTTGTTTTTCTTTGCCCTTCTCATCTCGTAAAAGAGAATCACGACAACCAGAACGAGAGACTCGATCAGGATGGCGATGAAAGGCTTCAGAGGCTCCATGATGCTGATCACCTTAAAGAAGCATCGGTCACTGAGTTAGTACGTGAGTGAAATTTGTGTGCTCAAATGAGGTACAAATGCCTTTAATGTTTCTGTAAATGTGCTTTCATTATGCAGCATAAAAGATAAGTACGTAAACTGAGCATCTATGGTGTCTCTTTGGATCGTAACTGGTTTAAAAACACAAACGTGAGCGTTCCGAGGGGATCTAAAGTCTAAAGGTGCACTTCATATGTAAGAAATCAAAACCCGAAAAGGTTAAGATACTATAAAATCCTCGCTTTTGAAATGTTGCAGGCAAAACTTAATAAAATTATTTTCTTTAAGGAGACCAAGATGTGACCCATGCTGGCAAAATAAGGAAGAAGTGAGTAAAGATGGTTGGATTGATGACATCACTCCAGACAAAATAAAATTGAGTTTTCACACTGGTACTTGTAAAAAGTGATTTATCGTAAATTTGTTTAAAAAAGTGCGACTCACTCATTAGCCAGTGTGGGTCGTTGATTTTGCAGTGTTTGAGTAACTTGTCACCAACTGACCTTCAGCCCCACTTGGCTTATCGAGGTGCCGATGGGGTACACGGCGCCGCAGTAATACTGACCCGAGTCAGCGAAAGACAATTTCCCCACCTTCAGCTTGGTCTTCCAATCGTCGTTGCTGATCTTATAGCGGCCAGCGACAATAATGATCTGCTCCTGCAGAACAAAAGATGTAAACAACAGAGTATGTTTTTTTTTTTTGCTAAGTAAAAAGCTATTTTCAAGTTTAACTAATAACCTGAGAATGTGTACTAGTAAAAGTTGATGTCGGTTCAAGTATTAAAAGGAAAAAAAGTTTTGTTGTTTTCGAATCAAAGCATCAAAATAACTTCTGACACAAATACTCAAAACTCGCTCTGACCTTGTCCGTCCCATTGGACTTATACCAGTTCCAGGTATTGGGCTTTGGCTTGGCTTCCTCCATTTTACATGTCATCACCACTGAATCTCCCATATAGCTCACTATAGGCTTGTCTCGCTTCTCACCGATCTGTGGAACTGAATGCGAAAACACAAGTTTGTCACATAGCACAGGTTTTATTGAAATTGGTATCAGGGACTATGAGTAGATGTAAACGATACCTCTAAAAATAAAATCTATTCTATCGTCATCCTCAAACACGCATGAGTAGTTTCCGAGGTTTTCCTGATTGACGATCTCGAACCTGTGAAGAAACAAAAGTTTTTTTTGTTGTTTTTTTTTAACAAACACTTTTCTGTAGTACAGTTCAGTGGTAGAATGGAAATGTTATTTTTAGATGCAAATTTTTGAAAAAATATAATAAAATTCTCCCACTGCATTAAGGAGGCAAAACACCATTCAAACTGTATAGAAATGTAGGAATAGTTGTGTATATTGTGACATTTTTGGAAGTGCAGATGTAAATATAGATTTAGAGCGCTGCAGCTGTCAAAACTACTGATTCTGACAAAATAAGAGATTAAATATTTGATCAAATTTAGTTTTATTTTGCATTTTTTCCTCAACAAAATTCGCCCAAGGCTCACATGAAGCACTTACACTCGTGAGAGGATGTATTGTTCTTTCTTCAGCACCACTGTGACACGACTGTCTGGAACTTCCTCTCCATCTTTCTGCCAGTGAGCCGTTACGTTTTGCGGTTTGATCTGGCTACCTGTCCAGGTACACTCCAGGGTCATATTGACGGGCTTCACCAGATCCACTGTCACAACAAGATGCTCACCTGTAAATAATAACAATATTAGAATAAACGAAGTGAAAAATTTACTCATTTATACGTTCGTTTTGAAAACCGTTACCTTCCAAGATGGCGCCTTTTTTGTCCGATTCCAGAGGTGTGACGGGAACAAACGGTCCTGGGGTCGGGCCTGCGGTCACTGTCAGCAAAGGTAATAGAATTATTTGTAAATATGCTACTAAAATAAGTTTGACTAGCAGCATTATCGACAAATACAAAACTACTACTAATTAGTCGAAAGTTTTTTTTTTTAAGTTATGCTATCAGGTTTTAGTAAGACAGTTGAATGAAGGTTATTAGCTATGTTGCTCATGCTAAAGATGCTAACTAGTTGCTAGGCTCGTTGCTAAGGTAACCGCGGGAATAAACGGTCCTGGAGTCGGCCCGCGCCTGCCGTCACTGTCAGCAAAGGTAATAAAGTAATTTGTAAATATGCCGTTAATATTTTTTGACTAGCAGCATTGTTGACAAATACAAAACTACTTGTAATTAATCGAAAGTTTTCTGAAGGTTTAGTCAGACAGTTTAATGAAGGTAGCTACGCCGCTAACTTGTTGTTGCACTAAGCTAAAGATGCTAACTAGTTGCAGGGCTCGTTGCTAAGGAACTGCCAGCTCCTATCCCAATTTTTGAGCCGCATTTTTAGGTTTCTCACTGTCAAAAAAACATGAAATATTAAAAATATACAAATTTAGGTTTATGTTGCTGGACTAAGATATTGGGGTAAAAATGTGGTAAGCTAATTTAAGCAACAAAAAAAGCTCAACTTTGTGGGAGCCACTTATCAAAGCATAGCTTGAATTAATATTTTTTTTTACTTTTAAATAATAATTTATGGTTACTGTAATAATTTGTTGACCTGACCAGTTTTTTGTAAACTTTTTGTAGATCTAGGTAAGTTTACAACATAAAATGATTTGCAAATCAACGCCATGTAAGTTGTAGGCTTTGTACCTCAAGCAGTTAAAAAAAAAATTGATCGAAAAGCATCACACATTTATCGTTTTTAAATGAAATTTGAAATGTATGTAAAAATAAATAAATAAAGATGCAAACCAGTCTTATATCTGTTTTGACACACTGCTTGTGTCAAGTGTATAAATGAGTTGTATAAATATGTTTGTCGTGATTTACAAGTCTCACTGTCATTCACAATTTTTGTTTAAGAGGCTATACTCCCTATTTTTTCTTTCCGTCTCTCAGTTTTATCTGTTCCCAAAAACAAACAAAAAACTGCAGTTACAAATGACAAATACAGGAAAATCTCTCACATAGATCAATGTGTTTAATCTTTCTGAAATGCTTTACTTGTACTCCTCCATTTCCTACCAAGCAGCTGTTAAAGCACAGCAAAATAAACACCTAACGGAGGGTGCCTCAATACCTAGGAGCTAAAATAAAGCTATTAAAGCTGAAGAAGATCAACAGAAAAAGGTCTGCATCCATTTTACCTAGACTACACTGAAGGATGGAAACATTACGAAATACATGCACAAACACATAAGAAGACGCAGTTATTTCCCATGCCAAAAACAATCCATGATATGTTGCAATCTTGCAAACATAGAGGCTTGTGTTACAATGCAAATGCACTTTTGTTTTAAAAACTCAGGCCTGTGTTGTAAATCTGTAGGTGGGTGTATTTACCGTCATCATATTTCCTCTCAGCAGACTGAATAAACTCACAGTTAAGTCTCAAAATATTGGGTCACTGACACAGATGTTATCTGGTTACTAACTAAAACTTTGAATTCTGGTTTTTAAATTTTATCCAACATCTTGATAGAAGTGTTTAGGAATTACAGCTGTCTTTTGATAGCACAACATTTTTTTAAGGAACTAAAAATTATTTGTGCACACGGTTGTGTTTTAATAAACAAGTGGAGCCTATAGTCTTATTATCCAACATTTTTCAGTCAGGTCATCTGGACAAGTCTTATTATATTTTGAATATTTAGGAAGAAAAATGTTTGCTATTCATTCACTTTGTGTGGTGTATTTGGAAGGAAGCCAAATGACCTTTACGTGAAATGAATCAGGCACACTTTAAGCTGCATAAATAAAAACAACAAAAATCATAAGTCAGATTGTGGAAACAATTAATGAAACCAAATGAAGGCCATTTGGAGAAACAAAATAACACAGTGGAAAGGTTGAGGTAAAAAGTCCTAAGTATCCAGAACAGTGGGGATTGTCTGCTGGTAAATAATTTATAACATCCAATGAGGAAAACTACCAGAGTTGGAGATAAAGTGTCATTACCTAAAGTAAACCAATAAAAACATTCCTAAACTTCTATAGTAAAATTCCCATGTTAGGTTGGTCAAAAATCTCTCCTAAACTCTTAAAGTTAAGTAAGTAAGCAAAAGGACTCAATGAAAAAAGTATCAAGAAGGTAAATATGATCCAAAACACACACCATCATCTGTAAACATGCAGGCAGTGTCACTGCTTTTATGGCACCAAGTAATTAAACTTTATAGACGACATGAGAAGATTTGATAAATTGAGAAAAGTGCAATTATATTATTATCAGCAAACATTTTAAAAAAAAATTTACTCAGCACTTATGTCAATGTCAGTTATTTTTATACAGCAGTTAAAATAACACATAGACCAGAAGGCTCTACAGTCAAACTACACAACAATGCAATAAAATAAAATACAAAAATATAAATGAAAGGACAATAAAAAGTGTGTATAAAAGCACTGCAGAAGTAGAGAAATCTAACACTTTGTTTGAATCAAAAGTCAAGCTAAAATTATGGGTTATTATTATGGATTAATGTTTGGGTCTCAACATAAATGGACTGTACTTATATAGCGCCTTTCTACCTTATTTCAAGATACTCAAAGCGCTTTACAAGCACTCTACTAGATCTCTACAAAGCTAATTGAACAAGTCATTCTAAAGAGACTAATCAGAGCTTTATCACATTCAAACACCGATGGGACACACATCAGAGGCTATGAGGGGTTCAGTGTCTTGCCCAGGGACACTTCGACATGTGACTGCTGGTGGATTCGAACCCCCAACTCTCGCATTGGAGGACGACTGCTCTAACCACTCAGCCACAGCTGCCCCAGATGGATTTAAAAGTTTCTAGCTGTGTGTAAAATTTAAAAAAATATATTCTCTAAAGTCCAGTCACTTTTATATTTTAATCTGAATATTGGAACATCTAGAAGAAGATGGCCGGTGGAATGGATTGTTCTACTTGGTGTGTAAATGTTGCGAAGATCAATTACATATGAAAGGGCACCACCATTTAAAACCCATCCATCCATCCATCCATCCATCCATTTATCCATCCATCCATCCATTATCTTTACCCACTTCTTCCTTTTTGGGTCTTGGGGGTTACTGGTACCCATGTCCAGCTATCGCTGAGCAAGAGGCGGGGGACTGGACAAGTTTCAAGTCCATCACAGGGACACATTCACTCTCTCACTTAGGGACAATTTAGAGTTACCAATCAGTCTAACATGCATGTTTTTGGTCTGTTTTTATTTTTGTTCATACATTATTAGGTGGCGTGGGGAGGGTGGGGCGCTAAGAAAGCTAGGAGGTTGCGTCATGTTTTTGCTTTGATTTAGTTCTTCGTCCTGAGCAAACACGTGGTGATGGTTGCCTAGAAGTTATCTTATACGACTAAAAATTAATTTTTAAACCAGTTTAAACTCTTTACTCCGCCATTCGGTTATCGTCTCAGTTTACTTTTTCCTTGCGAGATGCAGTAAAAGCAGGTAAAACACATTTTGAGCCAGACAAGAGTCTCAATAGCAAAAGGACAAAATGTGATTTCAAAAATAACTTTTACTAGTATTTTATATATCAAAAATAGCTTTTACTTGTGAATCTTAAAAATAGAGAGAATAGATTTTTGATAATAATTCATATAAAGACAAATAATTTTAATAATTTTTTACATCATGACAATTTTAAAAGCCTTTTAAAGTGACTTGTTCCCATTTTTTCTTCTTTGAAGTGTTATAATATCTAAAATATATATTATTTGTCTCTTTAAAACACTCAGTCATGATTTTATTGTAGAGTTTTAGTGTCCCATGATGAACATAATGGTGTTTCAGACAATAAAAGCACTTTTGGGGACAATTTAAGTGTGATAAATAACAGCAAAATACAGGAAACTTTAAAATGGGAAGTGTGTATGATGTAAAGGTGCAAAAATCGTCAAAATGTCCTGTGCCTGACAAGGTTACAGGAACATTGTGTGACAAAGAGAAGAACAGAGTTTAAACACATATAAAACAGTTTAAAATCAAAGGTGAATTCATTTACTTGTGTTGACGTGTCTGCAGGAGACGAGAATCTGGAGGATCAGAACCAGCTGCTGCTTCCAGGAGGATGTCATTGTTGTCCCTCTGTCCTCTGTGAGTCTTCTCATTCTGTCTCTGCCTGCTGCATCGTCTTACCACCTCAACCTCCCCTCCCACGGCCCACAGTGACGCAGCAATGAGCTCACTCTGCAGCCTGTGTGTGTGGCTGAGTGCCTCCATCCATTATTCAGTCAGACAGTGTTCATGCGTTGATGCTGTCGCTGCAGCATGTCGCGTCATGTCAGGCCAGTTTAGAGCAAAAAAATATGTATATGATGGCAAAATGCTTTAAAACAAAATATGTTGCTTTATGTCCAACAGTGATTAATTAACCGTTACTGTGGAGTTTCTGCAGGCCTCTCTGCCATGTTATTTGAGAGGACCTGGCAGCCTTGAGTCACATGATCTTCCTCCTTTCATGAGGACAACAAGAAGTGGAAACAATTCTACTTTACAAAACAAACAGTCTTAAACTTGAGAAACTGCATTTTCTGCAAACATTGGAGTTAGAACAACCAGCAAAACCCTAGCTAAAACTGAAAGTCAGATAAACTGTAGCGAAAAGTAAAACTCAGGTAAACAATAGCTAAAATCAAAACAGAAAAAAATCAGCTAAAAGCAAAACCTAAGTGAAATCTCTGAATGAGCACAACTAACTGAAAAGCAAAAAAAATAAATAAATAAGGCAAAACAGTAGAACCTAAAGTTCCCAAAAGCTACAATTATAAGAACAGTAGCTAAAAGTAAAACCAGCAAAACAGTGGAGATAATCTAAAATGAACAGTATCTAATGCTTAATTTAGTAAAATAGTCAGAAGCCAAGAATTCAAGAATAGCTAAAGGCTAGAATTAGTAAAAGAGAAAAGCTAAAATCAGCTAAGCAGTTGCTAAAAGCTAAAACCACCAAAACATGAGCTTACAGCTAGAATTAGCAAAAAAAAAAAATTGCCCAAAGCTAAAATGATCAAAGATCTATGCTTTAATCTGGTGTGGTTTAGAGTAATTTACATCACGTACTTTAAATGCTACACATTCATCTTTGTCTAATAGACTTGTTACTTGTTGAAGTCACTCCTGTACGAACACACCAACGTACAGCACAAGATCTGTAAAACAAAGAAATATGCCGGTGTAGATTCTCTGTTATCCAGGACACAGTAAATACAAAAATATGGTTAAAAATAAGTTTGGACTTTTATTCTGTAGCTGAAGACTGAAACAGAAATACTGAAAATTTGACCAAAATATAAACATTTTCGTTTTATAAGATCATTTAATTGGGGCGGTCATCTTGAAATGGTGAACTGCTCCAAAAGTTGATCAGGAAATATTTATTGAATGTACATCTACAACTTTATGTTTCATTAAACTCCATCTGTTCATCAGATATTTTGCTGACTGGTACAGTTGGCTATAAATACCTAATGACAAAGTTTTAAACTAAAAAAGTTTGTATGGTACATTTATTAGCACTTACATGCGTATGTATCATCAGTTTCAGCTACTACCACACCAACTTTTAGCTCATTATCTGTAAAACTGGCTGAGATGTAGCTTTTTTTGTCTTTGCTAAGGATGCTTATCTGTGGCAGCCATCTTAAACTGACAAACTCTAAAAGTTAAATCAGTTGTAGATGTACATCCAGCACAGAGTTTCATTAAAATGTATCCAGTGGGTCATCAGATAATTATGCTACAGACAAACGCATGGTTTAAAATACAACAAAATAATAAGTGACTTGCAAGTCAAAGTACCGTAGTCCTTAACCAGACAAAATACTTTTGAGAACTCAGAACCTCATCAGTTTAAAACCCGTCGCAAAGGCAAGGATTGTCCCTTCAGCTGATCCAGTCTACCATCAACCTTCTATTAAGTTCTTCAGGTTTAACAGCACCGTTTCCACATCAGACCCAACACTTTTGTTGGAGTTAGTTCAGAAGCAATCTTTGAACTGATCTCTAAATATAACCTCACTCGTAACGTGGAGCAATTTGAGAATATCTGACGTATAGACTGAATAAAGTATACATTTATATTGCCAGCCATATTGAAACATTTTACTCTTTTATACAAACAAGTGACATTCATATCCTAAATAAATGTATAAATAAATACAAACATTACTGCAGTAGCCTGATGCATGCTCAATAATCCAGGTAGAAAAATCTAAAAAAGTTCAATCTGGTCCTCTGGACATTCAAAAAAACAAAACAAAGCAAATCAACAAAAAAATGTAGAAACGTTTCGTCTCTCATCCGAGAGACTTCCTCAGACTGTTTTGTTTTTTTGAATGTCCAGAGGACCAGATTTAACTTTTTTAGATTACTGCAGTAGATTGTGGTATTTTATTATAGCTATGCTGGTGAAGATTCTCAGTTATCCAGGACATGGTAAATCCAAAAAAAGGTTAAAAACAAAACAGGAACTTGGTCTTCGTCCAGTTGTTTTGTTTTTAAACTTTTTTATTTTATTTATTAAAGCTATTTTTTCAAAAAAATATATAAAGTTAAAGTTTTAAGTACAGAATTAATACAGTTTTTTGAGACCAATAATGCTGATAAAATCAAGAACCATTTTTTTCCCAACATGAAACCAAAAGAACGGAGGGTATTTAAAAAAAGATATTTAAGAGGATTAAAGCTTTGTTCACTGTGGATGAAGCTGCAGGCTGTTGATGAACACAGTCTGCAGCTCGTTGATGTCCTCCGTCGTCTCGATCGGGATGCTGAGTTTACCCGGAGAGCTTAAAAGTCCATCAGCTTCATTCACTCGCTCGTAGCCGCACTGGCTGAGGTGGTCGTGGTAGGCAAACCCACAGCCACCCACCGCACCCTGCGCATGCTCGCAGATGTCCAGATACCGGTGCTGTGGGGAGAGGCGGTTTAAGTCCTGGGTGTGGTGCGACCCGTGGTAAAGAAGGTGGTGATGGTGTTCAGGCCCAGGGCTGTGACAGGGGCTTTGGGACGGGCTGTGGGGCATCGGACAGGTCTGCAGGCAGCTGTTTCGACGCATGGCCCGGTGGAGGTCCAGTCGCGCGATTAGCGGCTTTCCGATGTTGACGCTTTTGGTCCAGTATATGGGATGATCGTCATCCATGGCTGCGAAGGTGCCCTGAAGGCACACAGTAAAGACCAGCTCCTCCTGTTGAAAGTTTAACACATGAAAAATTAGTTTAATTAAAAACTCAAAACTAAGATAATCTTATGTTAAGAAATTATGAAATTATTGCTATGTTAGTGTCATCTAAAGCCTGATGGTTGTGGCAGCTATCTTGAATAGAATTGAGTTCAGAAGTAAATGAGTTGTAGATGTACATCCAATAACTACATCCCGAGTTTCATTAAAATCCATCCAGTGGTTCACAAGATATTTAGCTAACAGTACAGACAAAAGAACACAGAGACAAAGGTGAAAAAATTATTGCTCTTTCTTATTTGACAATAAACTGTAACAACTTACTAGAAGTAAAACTTTCAAACAAAACAAAAGAAAAAATAATAATTTTGCTACTGAATTGAGAAATAAATGTACTTTCCTCACTCTGATGAACTAATACTAGCATTTTAAAGAAACCCTGCTGCAAACAGAGTATATTCAGAAAAAAAAAGACAAAAACTCATCTGGAAGAAGGAATAGTGTTACATTACAAAAAGTAAATTACTATTAGTTATTTTGGCTTTTTAATTTCAACTAAGGTACTAAAAATATTTTGCTTGTTCCCTAAATGCAAGTTCATAAAGTATAACCAATAATATTTTTTCCCCAAATATTGACAATGTAATCTTAAAGACTATCCAAGTTATCTTTAAAATCTACGACTTTACCCTAAGATTTGTTTAAAATTATGGCATTACTCCGCATCAACAATAAAGCCGAGGAAATGAGTAACAAATTACAGAAGCTAAACTAAAAGGATTATTTGTTCATTCATTCATTCAACCTTTATTTAGACAGGTAAATCCCATTGAGCCTCGAGGACTCATTTACGAGACCTGATTTCAACAAAGTGTTTTAACAATTAGATGTTAGCTTCTTAGAAAGCTTTGCTGCACTTAAATACAGCTTCAAGGAGCAACAAAAAAACTGCTAGATGTTTATTAATAAATGGTAAACCTCTTTAACAGACTGTAAATACTATATGTACTGCAACTTACCAGACTCAAATGCACAAATGAATACCTTTTGAATTATTTCAGTAAATTAGTCCTGATTAGTATGTTTTGTGGGATAACTAGGCTGCCGTTTCTTTTACCCTGAGCTTCTGCAGCGAGCTGAGTCTGGTGTAGAGGCAGTGCTGCGGCAGGCTGCTGGACAGCAGGTAGATCCCCGTCTCTTCCGGAGTCTCTCTGTTCATTTCTTTAGGATCCACATCGAGGTCCTGCAGTAAGGCAAAGACGTTTTCATCATCCAGCTCTAAATAATCTTTATAAAGTTCAAACTTTTACTATTGTAGAGTTGTATTGGCATGAAGGTAAAGGATCCGATTTTCCTGAACTTGTGACAACACACTGACCTGTGTGAAGTCAGTGACGTGCGCCTGGCAGAAGGACATGTCCTCAGGTTTCTTTATGATGTGAGTGTAAATGACGAGCACGTTGGAAAACTCTGCGGCAAAACCCAACTTGATCTGAGCACCGCAGTCAAAGTTCAGACACATGCTCTCAGGAAGCTCTGGAATGACAAGCAAAAGTAAACATGTAAGGAACTGGACACAATTTAATAAAATAAAAAAAAGCCAGGATTTCATAATTTCACTCATCTATTGCTTATTGAAACCCAGACATTCCTCTTCCCGGCAACACTTTCCAGCCCTTCTTGGAGGACCCCAAGGCGGTTACATCGAGGTCTTGGTCTGCCTCTGTGCCTCTTACCAGTAGGCGTGCCCGAGAAGCCTTTAAAGGGAGGCATCCAAGAGGTATCCTAATCAGATGCACGACTCAGCTGACTCCGTTCAATGCCATTCTGAGCTCCCTTCAGATGACGGAGCTCCTCACCCTTTTCCCTAAGAAGGAAGCTCATTTTGGCTGCTTGTATCTGAGATCTTGTTCTTGGGGTCATGATTTAAACCTCATGAGGGTTAGAACGACGCACCGGTATATCTAGATCTTTGCCTTTTGACTCAACTCTTTCTTCACCACGGCCAACTGAAGTAACGTTCTTATTACTGAATATAACGCCCCGATCTATCAATCTATCTCCTGTTCCATCCTACAATCACTTGTGAACAAGATGCCCAGATACTACGTGATTTTACGTGGGCCCAGCCCCCGTGAAGAGAACAGGTCAGGTGCAATGAACACCAGGTGGCAGACGAGGGAGGGTCCCTGGCTGTGCCGATTCTCAACGACAAACTACAGGTAGCTCTAGGGACAGGTTTTCATCATCCGTTTACAAATTCCCTTTTAATATCTTTTTTAAATTTTATTTAATCATAATAAAAATAAGGGAAAACACTTGCTTTTCCTAATTATTTTCTGGATCTTAGAAAAAGACCCAGAAATATTGTCTGCTGTGATCCTTATTAAATACTATTCAGTATTTAATAGTAAACTGTCAGTAATCTACACATTCAGAAACATATTTTGTTTATCAAAATGTTAGACAAAGTATAACATACATATATGAAATAAAAACAATGTATACATTTTAAAATATATGTATGTTCCTAAACTAATTTGATTTATTTATTCTAATCTCCAACCCAGCAGGTTGTAAACAGTTTTATTGATTTATCAAATCTTCCCTATTTTATGGTATCAGTGTTTGCTTAAGAAAATATTTATAGGTAAATGTGAAATTAAAATGTGATAGTCATTGAACAAGCATCGAACAACAGATTTCTTCAGAAACTTTTGCATTTTTGTACTTTATAAATGAGTGACCTTTGTGTTTTACAAACATTAAAAGCATTACCGTTTCACACATGCTAATGACAAATGATTAACAAATACCTTTTTTCCTCCCTACCATTACACTTACCGTGCGCTTTTGCCCACTGGCGGCTGTGAGCGTGAGCGAGGTCAGTGCTGTCTCCGAGCAGGATCAGATCGGTGAGCGCTCTCCTCTCTGACAGACTGCTGCGGATCTCCAGAGCCTGCTTTCCCTTCGTAGCATCGAATTGACCCATATCTGCGCACACACAAAATAATACAGTATAATCTCACTCTCAAAGCTGTTTTAATACTAAGTTTATTAAGATGTCAAGTAAGAAAATCCCTCAGTAATTGTCTTTCATCTTAAAGCCAACCTCTCAAAGATTGTCTTCTCACAAGAAAGGCAAAAAAAACAACGGCTCTTGTTTGACCAAATAAAATAAAATGAAACCAGTTAGCTTAACTACAGTATTACTTTTTGTAACCAACATGTTGAAACTGTTGTCTAGCTTGTTAAAATCCTGGTTTCATTCAGTTTTCTCACCTTCAGCGACTCTGTCCAGAACCACGGTGATCTTCTCGTCGTCCAGTAGCCGCTTCTTTAAAAACTTGACGAACACTCCGTTGGTGAAGCCCGTGGAGCTCAGCTCAAACGCCTCAGCATCCTGACACCTGATCAACCAAACAAAGGTAATGTTTTATAAGACCGAAACAAAACTACGTCTGAAGGTTGATTTCAACTGATATTTCAGACTTGCGTTGCATATCCAAAGACAATGTTGGCCGTAACTCTCAGGACAATGTTTGGAGTGCTGTCATCATGAATATTCCTGGAAAATAAATAAATTAGGATAGTAAGCTGCAAAGCTAAACAAATAAATTTTTCAGCTCAATGAGGCAGGTGGAGCAGCTGTTCCCCCATTCTCTAAAGTTAAAACACGTTATTACTCTTATCAATACATCAAAAGCATGTTCACTGATTTTAATTTCACTTTCTTAGGTACAAGCTAAAGAATTAATATTAATAAATAATTGCTACATTCACCCCTTGTCCCTCAGCTTGGAGTTGATTCACTTCAACTCAGCTACACTAGTTGCTGCTGCTCAGTGTTCGGCTGTAAAGATGAGGGAAAAAATGCAATGTTCTCTTTTTAAAGCTTTAATCGTTGCTACGTCTTTTCTGGTGATGATCAGACAAAAAATAAATAAAAAAGTAAAATCACTGACTGATAGTCCAGCATTTAGGAGTGCAACCAAAAAAAGGTTACCATTTAAATCCTTATATGCTGATCTTATAACCGCCAGCCCACAGCTCATTTTATTTTGATTATTTGTGGGTTGAACAAACATCTAATGTTGGACTACATATGGCCTAAAAATAAATTTTTAAACTGTCTACATTAGGTTTAGTATTTAAATTAATTTTATTTAACTAAATTATTTAGCAAATAAGAGCTATATCCTAATTTAAAAAAAAGGACTTTATATGAGAGATTTTCATCTTGATCTAACAACCAAAATTAGTTTAATCCACACATCTTTGTTTTTCTAATTATTATTTTCTTTAAATAAAATGTACTTTCCTGGTATACGTCATATTGTGACATAAATACAAACAAATTATTTAAACGACACAAAATTTGAAACACTGAACCAGTTTTGTGTCTATATGCAACAACTTGGCAAAACAAGGCAATTTATTCTGAGCAGATTATTTTAAAAACACTTGATTTGTCTGCATTTTTTAATACTGTATTAAAAACAACACATACTGAGAAATAGAACAGTTTTTTTTTTAGCACCATCAAGGTGATTCCCAAAGAGCCATCAGCTGGAACAGTAATAGAACATCTAAAGACTGATGCACCATCAGGTCCTACGTTTGCTGAAACTTTCCCCACATATTTCTTTTAAAACACTTTTTTTAGACAATTTAATTCAGACTAGTCCATATTGAAGTGTTCATTAAGAATCGGTAACCTAAAAAGATGTGAAGGACTCACCTCTTTCTGCACATGTCCAGCAGAAACACATTGAGGCCCGTTTCCTTCTCCTGCATCAGTTTGAGGATGCTCTGCACACACAGACAGTTGGCCGATCTGTACGGGTTCGGTGCATCCACCGGCACCATGAAACTGTTCCCGTAGTTCTCATATCCGTGACCGGCGTAGTACAACAGGCCTAAAGAGGCAACAGTGTTGTTTAGTGAAAACTCTTGGATACAGAAACTCTTTTTTTCTAGCTACTCCGAGACCTAAAGCATTTTTGATAGTTTTAAACCATCATTAATAGATTTCAGGGAATAATTATTCATGTCAATTATTCAACGCAACAGTAATAATAGACATTAGGAGTTTTTGTTTCAGGTTATATCCGTTTAATCTGTTTTCAGATGGGAATTTCAGCTTTTATTTTCTCATCCCAACCCACCATAAACCCCCTTGTGAAGCAGCAGCAGGAACTCGTCCACAGCGTTTCTCATCTCGGACTCGGTCAGGTCCAGCAGTGAAACTACTTTAAAGTTCAGCTGCCGTAGCAGGTTGGTCAGGTCGTATACGTCCACCATGGGGGCTTTGAGCTGGGGGTGGTTCTGGTACGACAGATTACCAATCAGGAGAGCCACTTTGTCTGTCGCTGAGGTGAAACAAAAACAGGTTATGCAGGTGGAAAACGGCCAAGAACACGGTTACTTTAACTAAATGATGCTCCATTTAAACTTTGAAGTAGATTTTTTTGATGCAGATTTAATGTATTCTGATTACTGCAGACATTGTGTTTACAAAAGCCTTGGTGTTCTGACCTACCTAAAACTGACACAAAAAGCCTATGAGAGTCCTCCCCCACATTTTTTTTTTAATTTCTATTCAATTCAAATTTTATTTATATAGCACATTTAAAAACAACCACAGCTGACCAAAGTGCTTCACAAGAATTACATCGTAGATAAAAAATATGATAAAAGAAATAAAATTGAGTTTAATAAAAATAAAAGTATGATAAAATTTGCAGAAAAATACCAATAAAATAGTAATAAAAACCAAGCCAAACTATTTCACATTTGCTGCAATTTCCCAGAAAAATCGTTTATGTATTTTTAAAATAAATAAATTATACAAATTCATAATGCCAAAAAAATACAGGAAGGAAGGAAGTAGCTCATGTAGTTAAAACACCAGAGTGACATCTAAAGGTTTTATGAAACACATACTTTCTCATCATCCCTGTGCCCTTTAACCATTTTTATTCGCCGGTGTTTGCATTAAAGTGTTATTCTGTCAATCTGACAACGAGGCTCTCGTACACAAACTGATATATATCAGAATAAGGAAAACTTTCACCGACATACAGGCAAATTATAGTTCAGCCACAGAAATGACCAATATGAGTGTAAACTTTGATTAATCAGGAACACGTGTAGCTTTTGGTTTTAAATGCACTCACCATAGAGTTGTTCTGGCATACTATTAAGATAAAGTTCACTGGAATCTGACATTGTAACAGAAAAGACAAAAAGGAATCATAACAGTGAAAACATGATGTTTAAATCTGTATAAATGAGTTTCAACACTCTTACCTCCTCCAATGGCATAAATGTCATCTAAAAATTAAGTAAGGAAATAAAAGTTAGCATTTTTACATACAATGTGCGAACAATACTGATGAAAGAAATGATAACCACATGAAATATTATGGAAACTTTAGTCAAATAGTCAGATTTTAAAAGATATGGTTAGTGATATATTATACAAGTCTCGTTTTCAACAAATCCCATGAAAAGAATAAATTAATAAAAAAAATTCTTGGTAAAGTTCCTGCCATGGCATTTCTCAGGGACAAGATTTAATTGCAAATAAAAAGGCAGATTTTAAAACATTTTTCCAACCTGGCTCACTTTTATCTCTGAATGCTGAGGCTCGTTTGAAATAAAGGGTAATGCAAACTATGATGTACACAAGGGTGCGAAGTTTGGGATTCCTTCAGCTTTCTTAACATCAGTGATGGAGTTTTATTTGATCTAGCTCATACGTGTGCTCAAAGACTAATTGAATTGATTGTGCTCATAATGGAGGAATTATAATTATACTTTTCAGCTGTTTAAGAATGTTGGCTTTACAGCAAAACACAAGAGCAAAAATAAATATTAAGAAAGGACAATAAAGTCCATTATGCAGTCAGAAAACAAATTTATGTCTCTTTTAGTCAGACTTTAAAATTTTTAAATAACTAAACAATTGCATTGTTACTGAAAAATACAGTGAGAATGTTGAGCGCTGAATGACTTTGTTGGAGAAATTAAACTAAGATGGCAAAAACAGTAACAAAAACAGCTAGATTATAAGGTGAATGTAGAAAACTATCTAGCGGCCAAAAGGAGTAAGACACTAGGGAAAAAAAACTAAAGTAGCAGAGCACTAGCTTAAAGCTAAAGGAAGCAAAGACAGTAGCTAAAAGCAGCAGGAGGATAGCTTAAAGCGAAGACATTCAGAACCGTAGATAAAACCTAAAAGTAGCCAAAGAAGACAAAAACTATTGCATCTGAATTTTTTTCTACTGAAAATTTTGTAAATAAAGTTAAAGTATTTTTGAAGTATAAAATTACAAAAAAAAAGCACCATTTTTCTGAATGAGCCTAAAATTTTGAAATATGAATGGCTAAAATATAACAAATTGATGCAGAAGTAGAGTGCAAAAACTTTTTTTTTTTTAAACAGGAAAACCAGTGTAAATTCTGAATCAGCAACACAGAATTACGCAAGACATTTCCAGCAAGTTGCATCCTTTAACTTTTGCACCACAAATTAAAATAAGCAAAGTTCAAATAAATCACTGTTCATCTTTAATGTACATGTGGTTGAAAATGAGTTATTCTGACTGAGGCAGGATGATTTACAGTGTATGGGGCTGTACAGATATAGTTGCAAAGAAACGAATAACGTACTAAACCGCGACTGAGTGGTCTGGTAAAATTGTTTTCCAAATCTTGCAAAAGTCAACAACGCAGACAACAAGATTGTTTTTAAAGTTATTTATATTTCAGTCTTTTCAGGGGATTTGTTGATGTCATTATAGATGCAGAACACCACAATCCTCTTCATACTCCTGTGCTGATTGGAAGTGATTACATTATTACTATTATTATTATTGATAATAATAATAATAATAATATGCATGCAAGACAAATCCAAACATGAACTCCATTAGATCTGTGATTGTGAGACCATAATGCAGATCATGACCCACATGCAGTTACGGAAACAGTTCATTGAAACAGATTATTATTAGTGTTCCCAGCTAACGCATGCTAACGGTTAGCCTGTACAATACACCCGGGCTTTCAACTCTACCTTCAGAGCACTCCATTGCGCCCGAGATCTGGATAGATATCCTTGGTGCTTTCATTCAAGAACAGAAGCAAACCGTTTCTCAAACATTTTATACACAGCTGCTTTTAAACTATAGAAAATATAAAATAAAACTTAAATTGTAACGTACCAATTACAACATGAACTTCATTGGTCCACATTCTTTCGGTGCTGCTGCTGATCTCACAGCGGTAGCGGCCGTGATGACACTGCGTCACGTGAGGAATCTGAAACCGACATACTTTTTATTAAAGTCCAACACCCACCATTACAGTCCCAAGTGCCTTTAAGTTCATGTCAATTTTATTGTTATTCTCATCACATCAGGTAAATGAGGTGGAACAAAATTATGTACACAGGGTCCCAGTTACACCCAACAATAGCAAAAATATAAAAAGTGTAAAAAGCAACAGTATATAAGGATCAAAGATATACACTAAGATATATGTTAAACGAATGCCCAAACTGCACGCCAAAAGATCTAAGATATGCTAAACACTAATAATTCAAAACAACACGGCGTAACAACAGCAGCCTGAACGGGTTATCACTAATATCACTATTATATATCACTGTAGAAGAACACGATGGTTATATGTTTTTTCACATTCAGGTCAGGCAAGTGTAAAAGAAAAAAAAAGATAATATAAACACCCAGTTATGGAAACACCAGAACACATGGCCAATGATTGCTGAAGGTTGATGATGTCAAGAAAGGAACGAGCGATAGGCAGAGTGTCTTCCTGATGGAGGAGTATGTGAGTGAAGATTTAAGTGTAAAGTTGCAGTGATTTAGAGGATATCTTTCGAAGATTTGACTGCGTGGCTGATCCTTCCAGTTTCCCAGGTTCGGTGCACGGTGGAACTGCTTGGATAGTTGACACAGCATCTCTCCTAAACTTCTCCTTAAATCCAAATGCCTGCAACATTGCCAACTTGTAATCCTCCGGTTGAAAATGTTCAGAACGCAGAACACTGGTACACATTGACGTAAAGAAGTTGGCCCGTTTGACTCCGACACACTTTACCCATTTGTCCTGGATGTTTTTGATTTTTGGTAAATAATGGATACCAACTCCCACCTTGGCTGTATTTCTACAGGACTGTGCAACACATCGATTCGATATTTTGTTCCTGCGATGAGTAGTTTGGCCAGAAATGAGAAAGATACGACTGGTGTGCAATATAAATCTGGCTGTCTCGCCTGATCCGGATCTTTTTTTGACATCACAGCCCATAAATGGACTGTGATTATATAGCGCCTTTCTATCTTCTCCAGATACTCAAAGCTCTTTACAAGCTCTACAAGCTCTACAATCTCTGTCCTCATTTACCCATTCATACAGCACTCTACTAGATCTCTACAAAGCTAATTGAACAAATCATTCTAAAGAGACTAATCAGAGCTTTATCACATCGTACACCGATGGGACACACAGAGGCAACGAGGGGTTCGGTGTCTTGCCCAGGGACACTTCAGCACGTGACTGCTGGTGGATTTGAACCCCCAACTCTTTTTGCATTGAAGGACAACTGCTCTAACCACTCAGCCACAGCCGCCCCATATATGGAAATGAAGAGCTGTTTCCAAAGCACCAGCTTGAAAACTCAAAAACTCCTTTTAAAACGTTTTTGCGTTACTTTTCAATATTTTTACACAGAACATGGGTGTTTATTCCCGACTGCCAAGCCTAACCCGGACCTCTGACCATAAACCTAACCCAAAAGCATAGGTGTTTATTTTTTTATATCTCTATCATATTTAGCTGGATATGCAAAATGAACAAATGGTGGGTGATGGACTTTAAACCTTGCCACCTAAACATCTCCAGAGCTTTTGTGTGATGGTTTGTAATGTGTGAAGTTTTGAGTACAGCAGTTAAAAGCAGAAATTAAACATCACCAGGAGTTTTCTCTTTGTGGCGTTTGGGATTGGGACGCTGTTTCTGTGCCACTGGTACTGGGGGACGGGCCGTCCCACAGCTCCACACTCCAGCTGCAGGGTTTCCCCAACGTCTAGTCGCTGGAACTGAGGCTGGATCACCAACTTCAGCCGACCATCGATGGAGTGATAACTCTGACCTGGAGGAGTTGAGACAGAGTGCATCATTTGTTGTATTTAATATCATCAACTATCTATTAACTACCGGTAGATGGTTCAGCTGTTATCTTCATATAAGAATAAGAAAAGTTACAAGTTAAAGTCCCACAGGATAAAACAAAAACTTATTTTCAGAAATGAAACAGTGCAACATATTACCGTAAGGCCTGTTGCCATTCATAACGTCCACCTGAGCCCACTGGCTGAATTCACAGGCGTCTCCACTATTGACCCTGCAGATGTAAAATCCAGCGTCCTTCAGCTGGACGGGACTTATCAGCAGTTCTGGAGCTGCGCTGTTTGGAACCTGAGGTGAAAATAAAAATCGTGTTCATCAGGAAGCAAAGTTTAACATCGCTCCAGTCCAGACAGCCTGAACACTCAGGTTCATTTCTTTAACTTTAAATTCCCTTCCCTTTGTTTTTGTAGCACATTATTAGCATCAAATGTTCAAGAATGTGTAGCAAACTGTATTTCAGGAAATTTAGACTCTCTAAAGAACCTGTAAAGTCATCGAGATTTTAGTGTGAGCTAACCACCCCACCGCCATACAGCCCACAAAAACAATTTATTATCACAACTCTAAGAATATGTATCCAAGAAAACACAGTTTAAATGACATAAAATAATATTTTTCAACAAAGTGATTCTTGAAGGACGTTTATCTGACAACTTGACATACTGTAAATGAACAACTGAAGGATGATGCAGCTGTCCAACCTGTAATTAACCTGGCAGCAACAGGTTCAAAACTGCATGAACATTTTCCAAAAACAGGCTCGTTTTCAGTTTAATCTCACTGAATTCTGAGTGTCTGCAACCAAGTCAACATCTAGCTGCATTTTGAGGGGCCACATTTTAAAAATCATGGTCTATTTCTGTGTCCACAACCTCCAGAATTATATTCTAAGCCATACACATGATCTTGTTGCCTACATCCTACACTCCTTTGTCCACAGCATTCAGTTCAACACCTGCACTGAGTCTGTGGCTCACGTGCATGCGCAGAACATGCAGATGTGCAGAACATGCAGATGTGCAGACCTGCGACTCACACAAGGAGGCTCCAGTGAACGTTTCCAGACATTACAGAAACTCCCTCGCAAACGCAGTTCTCAAATACTGTATGTTTCTCAACCCAAGAATGTCCATCATCTGCAGAGCATCTGTGTGTATTTTGATCTTTATCCAACCTATTTATAGCTGCTATTGCAACATAACTTTAAAAAAAAGGTCACAGAGTTTCAGCATCACAAAAAGCCACAAATGGAAGTTGTTTCGTGTTGAGGAGAAATATGATGAAGGACATTTAAAGCTCAGATTCATGTTATTTAACTTTAGAAGTGTGACTCAGTTTGTGGTTAATGCTGCATCAGGAAATTACGTTGAAGTGAAAATATCTCATGGACACTGATGAGTGGTGATGAAAGGTTTTTACAAATGACACAAAGTGTGTTAGGAGGAATTAACCCAAACGTATGAGCACAATGTAAAGAAAGAAAGGTGGGAGTTTTAATCATATTTTGTCTCTGTATTTGGGCATTAAAATATTTGACTATACCTCTAAACAGCTGCAATATTATGTGGCAAACATCAACAGGAAAGTCAATGTTTTTAATTTAAAACTCGTGTTTTTAACAGTGTAAGACTGCAGTTTGGAGAGAGGGGCTGTTCTTTTCCTAAATTAATCTGCAGAAAGACTATTTTCAGTTGTTTGCAATAAGAAAAGCACCTTGATTCAGAATATTTTCTTGTGTTTGAGTGAGTTATCAGTATCATCTGTAAAAACGATGGTCTGTAAGGAGCAGAGTAAAAACACGACTCATTTAGTCTGTTTTTGGCGCCACTAGCTTCAACCTCAGTGTTACTGGACAGAAGTTCTGCATATATAAAGGTTTGATATTTTGCTGCTCTCTTTTCTGGAATGTTTACACAATCAATTGTATATTTTTGAAAAGTTATGTTTTATCTCCCAGGGAAGCTCCTTCTGCTCTCAGTGACATGTAAAACTGTTAATAGGGCTTTTCCTTCTGTGAGAGTTCAGTCAGAGACATTTAAAAAAACAATAATTTTAATCTGATAACCTTTCAGTGACAAATACAAGCACTCATTTGTGCTTTATTGTCCTGTTGTTGCATCTTTGCTGACAAGAGTCTTGACTGCAAAGATTTTTGTGCCATTTTATATTTTATACAAGGCAGAAAAGGCACCAGGTGATAAATCCTGTGTTTTCCTTTGACACACACGTTTTACATTTAGATTAGAAAGAGCACAGTGAGTGTTTGTGTTGTAACTCACTTCTTCTCTTGACTTGAACCACTGGTACTGCACTGGAGCTTTACCCACAGCGTGGCAGTTTAGGCGCAGATTGTGGCCACAGATTAGAGCAGCAGATTGGGGCTGGATGAGGATCTGCAGGGCTGTAAAATATTCACAAAACATAATTTGGTCTTTACGTATTCATACTCCTGTTTTTTTTCCACAGTTGTTTCAAGTCTAGTTTTCCTGCATTTACCATCTGAGAAACAATACACCTCTTACATACACACAAGTCTGTGTTTCCTCTTTCAAAAACCTTAAGCTCTGTTTAAATGACACGGCTCCACAGAGATGCACTGGTTGTAAATCTGCATATGAATGAACCGGTTGAGCCATAAACTGCAAAAACAGCAAACCTGACTATTTCACAGCAGAACAATAATAGGTTAGAGGTTGTTTTACTGTACCAGGTGGCTTCAAGCACTGCAGGGCCTCTGAGTTGCCCAGTGTTTGGAGGTAATCAATCAGGTGACCCGTGGTGCAACCTCGCTCTCCCATCAGCCTCAGCAGCATGGAGCTCGGGCTGCCTTCCACCTCCAGGACCCTGAGAGAGCACATCTCCATGTCGTCTGAGCTGGAGGTGGATGAAGGAGATTGACAAAATACTTTTCATTAAGCTAAAATATAAAAAAAAACAGGAACTGTGATAATATTACAACTGATAAAAGCGCTTTGTCAAAGGGCAAAATTCAGACATATATATGTCACATGACACGCTGTACAGTTCTATAAACTAAAACAGAATCCAGTAATTGCTATTTTCTTAAACCGATAATTTACTCAAAGTGGAACATAATAAACACTTCAAATGTCAAAACTACAAAATTGCACCTTTTCTCAACAAAAGAAGAGATCATTTTGAGTTTTACAGCAGCAACACATCTCAAAAAAGTTGGGACATGGGCAACAAAAGGCTGCAAAAGTTAGTGGTGCAAGTAATAAAGCTGGAGGAGCATTTTGAAACTAACTAGATTAATTGGAAGCACGTCAGTAAGAGGACTGCGTATAAAAAGAGCATTTTAGGAAGCATCATCTCTAAGAAGTACCTGATTCAATAGTTTAGAAGGAAGCAAATCACTGGTGTGTTTCAGTAGTGATTTAGCATGAGACAGATCATACGTGTTTTATTTTACCGGTTTATACGCTCTTCACACCCAGGTCAAAACCACACATAAATGCCTGATAGACAGAAATGTCCCATGGCCAAACAGAAGCTTTGAATCAGTAGAGCAGGAAAGACCCACGGAAAAGAGCATTTTAAGAATTTGTCGTTTTCAACCAGTTTGACAAGACTGTCAACAAGGAAGAGGGCCGGCAATGGAGGAGGGGGCGTACCAAAGAGACCATCTTATCACAAGCAGAACTGGTTTGTTCCACTTTGGAGTAAGCTGTTGGGGGAAGAATCAGTTTTGTTGTGTGTTTCCTTGACTGATGAAGCCTTCTGGATCGAAGGCGAAATGTTTCAGCACAAAAAAAAAAAAGAAACTGTCCAGATGACCTGACTGAAAAATGTTGGATTGTATACCTGGATTATTGAGCATGGACTTTGTTGTGGCATTTTAAGTTGTAGATTCAAGCTGCACATTTGACCACCAGATGTCGCCAAATAAAAGTGTTGGAAAAAAACAATGAACGGATGCTTAGACATCCATTTGACCATCATTAACAACAGCTGAACATTAGTTTGTAGCTGATAAATGGGCAACTAAATATCAAACAAATGCCTATCCATCAATCATGCAAATTTTTTTAACAACTAGTATATTTCGATTATTATCATTAGGTCCAAATTGTGATTTTTTTCACCTACCTGACTTTGAACCGCCTGTCATTGCCAACAATCTCTCCTAACTTTCGCCATCCTTTGCTGCTTGTTTTATCCAAAACTTCACAAAGTTTCTTCACAACCGACTCCTTCAACAAGTTTATCTTCGTGGACCTGTCCAAAGAGTCCGACATGGCAGCCAAACAAACCGGCCAGTGTACGCTGCTATTAGCTACACTTGACAACAACTCACATTAATGCCAAAAAACAGTCACACAAACACATTGTACTTCCTGGAAGACGTAGAAGTGATACAGACACACCTGCTGCAACGAAATCTCGGATTTCCCCGTTTTGGTTGATTCTGTCAAAGATCGTTTGCGCACCAAGCTCAACTCTGTCTCCATTTATCGCCGTGAATCCTCTTGACTTTAACGTTACTCTTAGTTTCCTGATGCATAATCATCCAGCTAGAAAATCCAAAAAAGTTAAGTCAGGTCTTCTGGACGGATTAAAATATATAAAAAATAAAAACTTGTTGAAACGTTTCGTCTTTTATTTCGTTTTTATTGTTTTTCATTCCATCCAGAGGACCCGATTTAACTTTGCTAGATTATTAACTTTTATGTTAACACTTGCGCAAGAAAGCGCTGGAGAGCAGAGTTTTAATTTCTGTTGACGTCTGTTGGTCAAATCAGTTTTATTTACCTAGCTCTACTGTAGCAGCTAATGCTAACTGGCTACGTGCAACAAACAGTTGTTCACGTTAATTATTAATAATTTTGTTACTTTCTTTTACCTAATATTTAATATGTCATGCTGTTCGAAAGTAGGGACCGACTCAGCCGGTCGCGGTCAGGAAAACGGAACAAATGAGTAGGAAACAATCTTGGTTCTTGTTTGCTCTTTGGCTGTAAACCGCTCTGATGGGCGGGGCTTTAACCAAGTAACAGACTCCTCCTCTTTTCTCTCCTTTATAACGCTTCTACCCCGCCTCAATTTATTTAATGTTTAATACATACAGTTCGAGGAGCAATGATAATTTAAATACAACTTTTTTTTTTTCGTGTTAGCGTCTTTTTATTTATTTTTTTAACATAGATGGTGACCGAATAGTTGATAGTTATTTAGGAGCTACAGGTTTTTTAAAGTCATAATATGCCATTTTCTGTTCGAGTTTTGGCAGGTGTTTAATTTTGATTTTACCTTCTTTTTTTTTGTTGTGTTCTTTTTTTTTTATTATAATTGCATGTTTTTGCATAAAAATAAACAAGTAAATCACCACAATGCACTATATCATATTTTGTTTGTATACTTTAGGGTCTTTTAAATTATATTTTTTCCGTTTTTACATCAAAAGATTACATACATTTAATAAAAGCACAGAGTTGTATCACATTATTCCTACACATTTAGACAAAAATGTACAAACATTTTGTCATTTCCCTGGAAAGAAAAACTTTCTTTGTGGTCATCTGAGCATCTACATGGGTTCTCAAACTTTTTGGGTTCAGGGACCCCTTACAGGGGAGAAAACGTTTCAGGGACCCCCGTCATGTTTATTAAATAATTTTCTTCAATTTGTCTTTTTAATGCAATGGAAAAATTTGTGTAACATAAATACTTAAGACCTGTTCTTTAATAGTGTTAATACAGTTTTTATACTCGGTATACTGTATTTTTCATTCAAGACACACTTAAATAACAAAATTTTTAATTTCGAATTCCAAAAATTACAGTTTTGAAAAAATTAACAGTATCAAAAAACACTTTAAAACTTTACCTATTCCCATAATGGTGGCCAAGATTGGGTGGAGGTAGGGCACCAGTTTGAGAACTACTGTTCTAGCCTAAGTAAAGCCCTTCATATTTGTTCATGCATTTAGCGCAACACACATTGAAATGACAGACAGACGGACAGACAAGAGTCCTCTCTTTGTCATCTACAGATGGTGCAAAATTCTCCTGCTCGACTTTTAAAAGAAACAAGAAAACATGACATATACCATACCACTTTATTTATAAAGCACTTAAAACAGCAACAAG